CATGCACACCCGCAGTGGCTCTCATGGATAGGGTGCAATTCTGATGCGGTGCGGAATTCGCAGTGAAACGTTGCACGTTCCACAGTGCATCAGTGTGAACCAAGACAAAGAGACGGAAGGATTTGAGGCAGCCTGTGACGAACGCGGCGTCAGAGTCCAGCCCTTCTCACCAAACTCGTGACCGAAGGATTAGCCAATCTAAAACCGTGATGTCACGTGCTTAACAATGCCACACCCAGCTGCACCCTGCACAACAATTTTCCAGCTAATTGGACCACAATCTATGTACCGACAGCCTGAGCGATTGTTACTGGGTCAGTTTAATTACGCAATTAACCCTTCACACTGCCACCACCTCCTTTTTGTACAGAGAAAGAGGAAACTCAGCAATATCAGCTATAACACTATAATGGTTGAGATAATCGCCTGTATAACACGGTCACCGTAGGCCGGTTATACAGAGGGTTAAACAAACACAGTAACGCTCTTTTTAGAGGCAGGAATTCGTAAATTGAAATTAAAAGCTATAGAAACACTTCAACACTTTCAGAAGGAAAGATTTATTACTAAAAGGTCAAAAAGGGTGCAATAAAAATATTTACAGAAAAAAGATGTAACCAATATATATTATAAATATACAGAGAACAGCACAGCAAAGAGGTAACAGAAGGAGGTTAAAGGGTTAAAGTACTTGCCAATCAGCCTTGGGTTTGCAGATCAAGTTTCAGAGCTAAAGGGTACGGGTTTCCCCAGGTGGTTCTGATGTTAAAATGGGAGACTTCTTCAACTTAACTCTTCTTAAGCCTGACAACCCAATTTGTAGTTCCCCAGCAGGGGGTGTCTCTGAAGTCAAGGACTAATACCCCGTTTAGGGCGGGAAGGTCTGGGCGTAGACCTAAACTAGAGCCAAAATCTCTTCTAGTTCATATTTTGGCTCATAACTTTTCATATGCACAAGTGACACTCCACCCGCAGGTAAATTATTATGCAGACACGTCTGAGGATTGATTAGACATGAAATAGGAAATTCTACACTGAATGGTTCATGAGATCTACTTTTCTGCTTTCCTATGTATTCCAACCACGGAGAGTGACCTATCAAACTGTTCGCCTCCTCTTGGCCAATCTGAGGATATGCCTGGTTTTTATGTAAGTCTCTCAAGATTCCAAGATATGAGACATAGGGGAAAAATGGATTTTAAAAAAGGTTATCTGGTCCTGCTTCCTTTGAATGTCTTTTGAACTCCTGGGAAGGCTGGTGTTATCTTTTTACGAGGTGTTAGATTGCACAGGTTCTTTGGACAGCGAGGCCCCAGCTCCCTTGGGGATTTTATAGCTCCTAGCCCCCTGCTGGGCTCTGGCCTCCTGTGACACTCCTAACACACACTGGTCAAATGTCACTGTGCCTCTCAGAGAGGGAGGGGGGGTGGAATGAGGGGAGAACTCTTAACAAAATGCCTGCCTCTGGTGCGCACGTTCGCGACACAGCCTACATCCTCAGAAGATCTGCGGTTAGTGCTCCAAGATGATTGCACGGTGTGTAAGTATACCTGGAAGAACTGATGCTGTTTGGAAGGAAGAGGTTGATCACACAAATATTGATTTGATTTGGATTTCTCTGCTGTTCATTTACTTTCCATTTTGTTAATTGATAAAATTACACTATTACACTTCTATTTCTGAAAACATTCTTAATTTACAGCATTTTTTCACACCTGTTAAAGACGTTTGCACAGTACTGTATATACTGTATATTTTATCAGGACATAACGAAGTAACATTGCATTGCAGGTAGGATTGGCTATCCTGCTACTGAACAAAAGTACAATTTTTTTTTCTGGCTGGTCCTGTTTTTCTGTGTTGAGTATATTGGTTGTTTTAACCACACCCACTCACAGTAAGCCACACCCGCATTTTACTGCATGATGCTGCCCGTGCCCCTCATGGGTGGGCCTTCACTCTTGTTTTCTCTGCTGAGCCTATGGCACCCTACTCCAACACTGCCTAGACCAGGGGCATATTTGCCGCGCGGCAAACAAGGCGTTTGCCTAGGGCGGCACTTTTCAGGGGGGAATAGTGCCTCATCATTGGTGTCAGTGTGGGAGGAATAGTGCCCCATTGTTGGTGTCAGTGGGAGGAATAGTGCCCCATCGTTGGTGTCAGTGAGAGGAATAGTGCCCCAATTGTTGGTGTCAGTGAGAGGAATAGTGCCCCACCATTGTTGTCAGTGGGAGGAATAGCACCCCATCATTGGTTTCATTGTGGGATGAATAGTGCCCCACTGTTGGTGTCAGTGAGAGGAATAGTGCCCCACCATTGTTGTCAGTGGGAGAAATAGTGCCCCAACGTTGGTGTCAGTGGGAGGAATAGTGCCCCATTGTTGGTGTCAGTGGGAGGAATAGTGCCCCATCATTGTCAGTGGGAGAGATAGTGCCCCAACGTTGATGTCAGTGAGAGGAATAGTGCCCCATTGTTGGTGTCAGTGGGAGGAATAGTGCCCCACCATTGTTGTCAGTGGGAGAAATAGTGCCCCAATGTTGGTGTCAGTGGGAGGAATAGTGCCCCATTGTTGGTGTCAGTGGGAGGAATAGTGCCCCATCATTGTCAGTGGGAGAGATAGTGCCCCAACGTTGATGTCAGTGAGAGGAATAGTGCCCCATTGTTGGTGTCAGTGGGAGGAATAGTGCCCCATCATTGGTGTCAGTGGGAGGAATAATGCCCCACCATTGTTGTCAGTGGGAGAAATAATGCCCCATCATTGGTGTTAGTGTGGGAGGAATAGTGCCCCACCATAGTTGTCAGTGGGAGGAATAGTGCCCCACCATTGTTGTCAGTGGGAGGAATAGTGCCACATCGTTGTTGTCAGTGGGAGGAATAGTGCCCCAACGTTGGTGTCAGTGAGAAGAATAGTGCCCCATTGTTGGTGTCAGTGGGAGGAATAATGCCCCATCATTGGTATTAGTGTGTGGGAGGAATAGTGCCCCATCATTGGTGTTAGTGTGGGAGGAATAGTGCCCCATCATTGGTGTCAGTGGGAGGAATAGTGCCCCATCCTTGGTGTCAGTGAGAGGAATAGTGCCCCACCGTTGTTGTCAGTGAGAGGAATAGTGCCCCACCATTGTTTTCAGTGGGAGGAATAGTGCCCCATCATTGGTATCAGTGTTGGAGGAATAGTGCCCCATCCTTGGTGTCAGTGAGAGGAATAGTGCCCCACCATTGTTGTCAGTGGGCAGAGCCCTAACAGGTAGAGGTGGAGCCTAAAGAGGAAGGGGTGGAGTTTACATATGAAGGGGTAGGTCTTAAACAGGAAGGGGTGGGGAAAATTTAGATGGGGGGGGTTGCCCGATTTTAGTTTTGCCTAGGGCAGCACAAAACCAAAATACACCTCTGGCCTAGGCTATAGCTCTGCTTTAACAAAGTCCTACCAAGTCTACAGCTTCCCTCTGTTTGCACCATAACAGCTCTCACTGGAGTTACTCCCATACTCCGGCAGTTCATCTAAGACCCAAAATCAGAAGAAAAAAAACTGAACAGCCTAAGCAGGCTCTGTGCGAAGAGCTCATATGGTGTTATTCCTATCACGTGTTAATGCACCTAGCCTCCATACAATACAATGCAGCTTCACACCTCTCCATTCTGCTCAGTACTGCAATGCACCTCTCATCCACAGCAGCCCCTTATCTCTCCAGCACAACCGGCTTTCCGGCCACCAAACCATTAAATTGCACTTCTAGCTACTTTCATCGGTTCAATGCAATACGCAGAACACAAAACGTTATCAAAAATATATGTAAATGTGCGGCACGGAAGACGAGAGAATAGTCACCGTAATCGCGTATGTAGAGGTTGCATTGGTACGTATTAGTTATGCTGCATCCAAAACAGACTCATAATCAGGTCTGTATTCACAATTCATGATGCCTTAGACACATACAAATGAGTGTTCATTCCATACCAGCCCAATTGTCACGAGCCGTACTGCATTGTAAACCGTTGTGGCCCTTAAAAGAGCAATCCACCCAAACAGCATAATTTAGTTGCAGGTGGATCAAGGCTTCTTATGTCTTCTGGGGATTCTAAACAGTGAGAACTTACTGCTGTAGCTCCTGACTCCTTGTTCCATCCACCATAACCTTTTAGGTGTGATAATCTACATGCTGACCTTTAGGAAGGTTAAAGGGAGTGTACTGTATAGTCTTCTTAATATTTTTTCAATGTGTGTTTGTGATAGGGCTGAACTGATAGAAGTGAGAGTTGGTTCTGATGAGTATACAATGGCATGCATTTCCTTCAAGGAACCAGATTCGAGGTGGAACCAGGGGCGGACTGACCATTCGGGCAGCCGGACACTGCCCGAGGGTCCAGGGTCAGTATGGTGCCCAGGGGTGTATTTACCACAAGGCATTTGCCTAGGTCGGCATTTCTCAGGGGGGGCAACACTGCCCCTCGGAAGAAGGGACACACGTTGTATGGGGACCTGTTGGGTTCCGAGAGAGGATGCGGGTTTCATGATGGTGTATGCACAGCCCAACTCTTGTTCCCGGGGATGTCCAGAGCTGTTGAGTGTCTCTCTCTCGCCATGGGGGATGGTGGCTGGTGTATAGGGGGGCAGTGGTAGTTCCACTGGTTCAGGTGGGAGGCAGGGGTGTTTTTGGTCAATGTCAGGCTCTCTCATCGGGGGCGCCATTTTTTTTGTTGCCTAGAGAGCAGCACAAAACCTAAATACACCACTGATGGCGCCCCATGAGATGCCCCTGGTACCGTTCATAGGCGTTTTTGGGTGTGGTTGGAGTGTGGGCGAAGACACAGGGGGCCCCATGATCCCCTATTACCCAAGGGCCCCATGAGTTGTCAGTCTGCCCCTGGGTGGAATTGTAGTGTATATCAGAGTTTCTCAACCTTTTTAGCACAAAGGAACCCTTGAAATAGCTTACAGGTCTGTGAGAACCCCAACCAAAAATTGCTATATCTGCAGCTCACGGTACAATAGCCTGAGGGTCAGTGGAAAGAATGTTCCTTACATTGGTGGTCATTGAGAATAATTCCCTTTACTTTGATGGTCAGTACGAAGAATGTTCCTTACATTCGTGGTCAGTGGGAAGAATGTTCCTTACATTGGTGGTCATTGAGAATGCCCTTTACTTTGATGGTCAGTACGAAGAATGTTCCTTACATTGGTGGTCATTGAGAAGAATGCCCTTTACTTTGATGGTCAGTACGAAGAATGTTCCTTACATTCGTGGTCAGTGGGAAGAATACTCCTTACATTGATGGCTAGTGGGAAGAATGTTGCTTATATTAGTGGTCAGTGGAAAGAATGTTCCTTACATAAGGGTTCAATGGGAAGACTGCTCCTTACATTGGGGGGGTCAGTGGGAAAAATGCTGCTTACTAGTGATGGGCCGAACACCCCCTTGTTTGGTTCGTGGTCGAACATTCAAAATCTAACAAAAATTTGATTGCAAACTTCGAACTCAATGCAAGTCTATAGGACTCGAACTTGTAAATTCAAATTTGCCCATTTTGGAAGCTTATATGCATGGTAGTGGCCATGAAAGGGGTATAGGGATACTGCCCTGAGGGACATAAATCAGTAAAAAAAAAATGAAAAATGAAAAATAAAATTTTTAAAGGAACAGTCATTTTTCATTGATTAAAGTAAATTAAAAAAAATGTCCAATTTATAGAACTTGCTGAAGCAGGACTAACATGTTTTTTTAAAAAAATGACATTTTTATATAAAAAAACAGTGTGGGGTTTCCCCCCCCTAATTTATACCAGACCCTTTAGGTCTAATAGGAAGGTTAGGAGGAACCCCACAGTAAAAAAAATTGCGTGGGGTTCCCCCTAAAAGCCATATCAGGTCCTTTAGGCCTGGTAGGACTTTTAAGGGGAACCCCACCCTCAAAAGGGGGGGTGCATGGGTTCCCCCTAAAAGCCATACTAGGCCCTTTGGGCCTGGTAGGACCTTTGAGGGTAGCCCCACCCCCAAAAAATGGAGTAAAAAACGTATGGGGTCCCCCTAAATTCCTGCCAGACCCTTGATCAGAGCACAGGCCTGGCAGGGCAATAAAGGGGGGCATCGAGCTCTTCAACACCGCCCCCCCGTGCCCTTTTAGGCTACGTGCCCTCGGCATTGGGACAGTGTCTCCATGCCGATAGGGAAAAGGCCTCTTCCCCACAACCCTGGCCCAGTGGTTGTATGGGATCTGCAGGCAGGGGGACTCATTAGCATCAGGGTACCCCTTTAAATACGGGGGCACTCTGATGCTGCCCCCCCTTGTGAATGAGTAAGGGGTATGTGTACCCCTACCAATTCACTAAAGGGTTAAATTCAGTAAAAATAAAGAGACCAGTCTTTTGAAAAATTCCTTTAATTGAACAAAAAACAAAACAACAGTTTTTGACAAGTAATTTAATAAAAAAAACACTGGCTTTGATGGTATTTTGCAAGATTGCTTCTTACATTGGTGTTAAGTGATAAAAATGACTCTTACATTGGTGGCCAAAGGGATGAATGCTTCTTAAATTGGTGGTCAGTGGGAAAAATGCTCCCCATACTGATAGCTTAAAAGATCTTTAGTGTTAGTGATTATTCATCTGAGAGTCAGAACTTGCCGATTGCTCAAGAAACCCTTAGCAGTCACTGCAGGAACCCTAGGATTCCCTGGTTGAGAAAGCCTGGTGTTTGTGGGCTTTGTTCTGGACCTAAGCTGGTACCTTTCTAATCAGAACAAGAGGATCCTTCATCATACAATAAACTCTTGGATCTGTACTGAAGAGCACCTACTACAAATATTGATAACACTTAAAAGTCTTTTTTGAAATGTGTGTTTGTTAAGAGCATCTAAAATATCCAATGAATTTCAGGGATGAAAAGCACCCCCCCCCCCCCCTTCTGAGCAGATGATGTTATTGGAATCAAGATAGAAATGGAAAGCACTAGAGGAACTACGTTAAGAATTGATAAAGGCTAATGTCTCCTAATGACCTTAAGGAATGGGAGGCTTTTTCCCCTGAAATGCATTGGATGTGTTTGATGCTCTTAACCAATAAACCTTTTCAAAAGACCTTTAAATGATGTAATGACTAGTACTAGGTGCTCATTAGTACACATCAAAGACAATATTTTTTTCAGATATCCATTTAAAAGTCATCAGCTTGATGTAAGTCATCTTATCAATGTGTTATAACCTTTTATTATGGTTTGTTTGTATATAGAGTCATGTGAAAGGGTCAGTACACCCCATGGAAATTGTGGCCTTCTCAACATATTTGAACAGGCAAACTTTAGATCAACAAATAAAGGTGATATACTTGGATAAGAACACAAAAAAAAAATTGCAGTTTCAATACATTTTTCAAGAAAAACATCATTAGGTGTAATGGTGTACTGTTGTCCTCAAAAGGTGGTATGGCCCCCTTCAGCAGAAATTGCTTCTTGTAAGGGTTCTGCATAACTGCCCTCCAGTCTCCAGTGTGAAACTGACCACTCCTCCATACAAAGTTCCTTCAGTTGTAAGATGTTGAGTTCTTGTATAAAAGGTCCATTTCAAATCCCCCACAACATTTCAATGGGAATCAAATCACGGTTTTGACTAGGCCAGCCCATAACCCCCCAATATTATTAACCATGGATTTGCTAGTGTGCTTCGGGTCATTATCATGCTGAAAGATCCATTTCTTGTTACCGTCAACTGTCAACGACTGCAAGTCCCCAAGGTCCTTAAGCAGCAAAGTGACCCCAAGCCTTCACATTTCCACCACCATGCTTTACAGTTGGTTTGAGGTCCTTCACCAGAAATCTCCAGAGGTTTTTGTTTTGTGCCACAGAGAATTTCTATTGTATTTATCACACTTCTTACAGGCTCATACACAGTTTTTGTAGGTTGCTGTAATGAATTGGTGGATGATGTCAAAATAAAATAGGGATCTTCACCAGCATAGTGAAAAACTTGTCCTTTATTTACGTACTTAAAATAACATGCATCAAAGGCCAACGTTTCGGGACCTCAAGGGATCTCTTTAACAGGGTAGAGTGCTGTTTTGTGCCAGACATACTTCAGGGGAATTTATGAAACCTGGGGCAGACCCAATCTAGAGCAGCTGTGCATGGCAACCAATCAACTTCTATCTTCAATTTTCAAAAAGTAACTGAACAAGCTGAAGATAGAAGCTGATTGGCTGCTATGCACAACTGCACCAGATTGTGCCTGCTTCAATTTTGATAAATTCTCTCCATCCAGTGTTACTGTGACCATACAACTCTATCTTTGGTTCAAGTCCACAGCAAATTGTTCCTGAAGGCCTGTTCTATGCCTATATGTTGAATGGCAAACTGTTTTGGGGCCTTTATTATAGGAATGCCTGTTAAATAATGTTTCTTTCTTCCTCTTTTTCCCTTTTTACTTCTTCCTTTGCTAGCTTGCCCCTTACGTGGGTATAGTAGGACTTCTTTTATGGAGAATTACTGGGGGTTATATAGATTTAGGTGTGAGTTGTATAGCAATTTGCCTGTCGTTTTTAGGTTACAAACATGAATATAAAAAATGGGGTGATACAAACACCTGGAGAGGCTTGGATCTGTTCTCTTAAAGGTACAGACATATTTAATGTATGCCCCTTCTATATTGTAAATCTATCACTACAGGTATAAAGCCCCTCTCTCTGTTTCCTCCCCATTGATGTTTCCAGATTTAATTGTGTCACAGTTAGTACGGTTATTTTTGTATTAAATTGTAGTTGGAAACCTGCGTATGGTGGTGGCCCTCGCCTCCCTCTCCCCTCTATTTGGCCCAGTGCCGGCGTTCCCTCCCCTTTTTACATGGGGGTAGGGTTTATAGGCATCCAGTGTGTCATCTCCCTATGAGCCAACAGCTATTGCATAGTTGTGATTGATACTGTGGTAAGCTATGAGTATTGTTGAATACTGTGTGAACAAAATAGTTATGATTGTATAATTTGTTTTGTACTGTCAGGTATTTTTTTTAAAATTCTTTAGAAGGTCCCGCAATGTCCCCAATGAAGCAGATGTGAACTGCGAAACGTGTCGGCATATTCTAGCAGGACATAACAGTGCTAAAACAGTTGCCTAATTATGTGATTTCAATGTTCACCACTGTATTATATTGTAGTTGGAAACCTGCGTATGGTGGTGGTCCTCGCTTCCCTCTCCCCTCTATTTGGCCCAGTGCCGGTGTTCCCTCCCCTTAATACATGGGGGTAGGGTTTATAGGCATTCAGTGTGTCATCTCCTTATGAGCCAACAGCTATTGCATAGTTGTGAATGATACTGTGGTAAGCTATGCGTATTGTTGAATACTGTGTGAAAAAATTGTTATAATTGTATCATATTTTTGTACTGTTAGGTATTTTTTTTAAATTCTTTAGATGGTCCCGCAATGTCCTCGATGAAGCAGATGTGATCTGCGAAACGTGTTGGCATATTCTAGCAGGACATAACATTGCTGTTGCCTAATTATGTGATTTTAATGTTCAACAGTATGCAACATTGGAAACATATTGTGGTTATATATTGTCCACCTTTTTAATGGATTTTAATATATTATGTGTATTTTTATATAACACACCGTATATATCCAGGTAAAAAATATATATATATAAATACATATATATTCTACCTTTCTGAATACAAACTGCGCCCCAAATAATAAATATGTAAATTATAATGATAATAAAAATAGCTGCTACTTTCTACTGTGAGCAAACAATTGTAACAAATAAATAATATTTTGAAATAACAAAATATATATGCAGCACTCTGTAAATCATATAAATCATATAAAAATAATCATAAACAAAAAGTCCATCAATAAAGTCCTTTTTGAAATCACCATGTGACTGTAAATACATTTCCAAACAGTGCTGTGCTCCCCCTTTAGGTATGCAGTCACCAACTTTATTTGCCTCCCATTCTCATGGTTGGCAAAAATCGCTTTTGGTATAAACATATATTTCTCCAGACAAGGATGTTCACTCATATACAACGATTTTTCCTCAGAATGGTTCCAACATTCCAAATCAATAGCCTCTCTAACTGACTCTCCACAGCTACTCTCCCAGAATGGCTCCAACACTCCAGATCTACAATCTCTGGTAATGACTCTCCATATCATATGAAAGAAAGGAAATAGAGACCCGACATGGTAAAGTATCATTTCATCTCTGCTTTAAGGAAACTCACTTACAAGAAAAAAATGCAAGATAAGCCCAAAGATATATATCTGCCTTTGTGAAGGTAATGGCAGAGAGGGAAGACCGCACATCGCTCTCACCACTGCCGGTCCTCGCTCTCAGACAGTCCCACATCACTTCCGGTTCCAAAGTACGTCACTTGCGGTTCTCACTTAGCCAATCATTCTGATTTTAGATACATGTACTTTGACCCCAACTGTTGCGAAAGTTACCAACAAAAGAAATTTTGGGATTCTTGGAGACTTTAGCATCAAACAGTCAACATTTGGGCCAATCCTTGACAAATTAGCAGTAATAGGAAATCTACACCAATTGTATAATATTTTCCTTTCAGTGGAATGATTGAATTTAAATATTTTGGTGATCTTTTTAAATCCTTTGCTAGACTCAAGGACATCCACAACTTTCTTTCTGAGGATCTTGGAGATCTCTATTGATCGTGGCATGATGACACCACACATCAGTGGTCACCTTAGACCCTAGATATCGAAAGTTTAACCTCCCTAGCAGTCTGATTATGTCAGTATTTCTGTGCTCAAAGTGGTACATTTTTTGCATAGAAATATGTTGTTTTTTTTATTGTAGGCCTGTAATTTTTAGGAACAACTCACTGAAATCTGTCCGAACAAGAGTCTTGTACAGATCCCGGGTATGTTACAATTTGAAACACGAAATCATAAATTATAATTTAATACATAATCATAAAAAATAATATTATAATAAATTTAATTCAATAATGTAATCAAACCAAAAACACTGAAATTTGAAATCTAGCGCCAAGTTCGCACATCACTGAGCAAAGTTGCAAAATCGTTTTCAGTGTCTGATGATGATTGATTTCTCCACAAATCATTATCAATCAATTCTGCAAGTGGTTCTGATTTACTATCGCTGTTCTCTAGCCGGTCTAAAACCGATTTTGACCTAAAGGGATGCTTTTTGGACGCCATGGACGTTTCTCAGTTTCCAGGCAGAAAGAACAGTAAAAATGTAGGCAGGGCACAGGACAAAGCACTCGGGACAAAATGTATGTGAAATGGTTTGATACAGGAATGTTATACTATGTGATTTTAGTGTATTTAGTGAATGTCACTTCTTGTCATTTTCAAATTTCCCGCCATTCCGTCCCCGTATGTCCAGACACTCGCAGGGGACGGAACCCAGATGACAGATGCCGGCATCCACCGAAGGACATTACAGGGGACACTGCAGGAGGGACATCGCGGGAGCGCAGGACAAGGTAAGTGAAGAACAGATCCTGGAGCAGCGCCGCATGGTAAGCCCGAGTGTAGCTCGGGGTTACTGCTTGTGAGGCTGAAACTTTACCCCGAGCTACACTCGGAAATACCG